TTCCAAAACTCCAGAGGCTGTAGAAGTGCAGAATGACCGAGCAGACAGGAGCATCCCCCATGTTCAGTGGGTGTTGGCTACACTGCAGCAAAGCTCCCACCATTTCTGTGTGAGCCTGCACAAGCTGGCTTCCAGGAGCTCTGTCCTTGGAGCAGACAGAAAAGAAGTTGTCAGAACCACTGATTATTTCGAGAGGGTCAGGTACAAAGCCCTAAGCCTCACTTGGTATGTGAGGATGTGCCAGGTCACACTAATGCTAGAGATGCTCTGTGGCCTGACTTGGGGCGAAAGAGGGGAGGAGGTCTGGTTCTCAGAGGAAAATTCCTAGGGAGGTTCCGAGTACAAAGAACCTTTATTCTGCAGTTGAAATTTTCTCTTCTACTGCAATTGAGCTAATTCCTGGGCAGCAAAAAGCCAAGTTCCCATCTCTGGTTACACCAGCAGCAGTGTTGAAAACTCCCCCTCAATCACAGAGGCACCACTGCAGTCCTGAGCTGTGCTGCCCAGGATAAGCCAAGCACACACACAGTGGAGAGGATAACATTTTTACTGGGGACTAGAAGTGCTAGAAATTACCCTCTGGTGTGCCAGAATCCAAGAGTAGCAGCAGTGCTCATTATAGGATATTAATAGCGTGATTTGGAGAGGCCACTGCTGCATTTGGGCTCTGAAGTTATATAGTGCCATAAGCTGCTAAACACATAAAAGCATATTACCCTTTAAGATCTTGATTGTCTTCAGTTTACTATGCCTACTCGAGAGCGTTAGGTTTTACAAGGGACAATATTACAGTACATGTGATAAAATGACTGTATGGTGGCTGCAGCCACAGAGGCTTGTGCTGTGCTCCGTGGGGACGCAGCAGGCAGGGGAGCCGGGGGCTTTAGTGTTTGGATGCTAGGATTAACGTGTGGGATCCAGGAAAAAAAGATGACTGTGCAGCTTCTTCGAGAGCAAAGATGCTCTCCTGACAGCTGATGTTTTTCCAAGCCTCTTCTTGAGGTACTTCAGACCTGGTCAGATCAGAAGATGGCTCTCACAGTGATGATGATCTATATAAGATGCTACTCTCCTCATGCCAGGCTCTGCACAGGTATTTCGAGTGAGAAAATTTTTTGCCTTGAACTGATGCAGTATGGTGTGTTGGACAATCAGTGTAAAATAACTGAAGAGAAACAGGCTCCTTTGTGGACCACATCTCCTAGCAGTGACTGCTCCTTCTTTTGACTCAGAAAATGTAAGACTTTTTTTTTTTTTTTTATGGGCATCATGTTCATGGTTCTTCTTGTCTTTGTGTGAGAAGTTGTGAGTTTCATGTTTTTTTGTTTTTTTGTTTTTTTGTTTTTTTATTATTATTTTTTATCAGTCAGGTGGTATTCGGAAGGTGCACGATGAAGTGAGTGGCGCTGCTGAATGACACAGCCCTGCTGGCCGGCTCCCTGTAGGAAGGCACATTGCAGAAATCTTCACACCTGCTCTAACCAACCCATCCCATGCAGTGGTTCCTCTCGGCACACCGGGCAGGGATGCAGCATCAAGGCACTTCTGTGCACTTCTTGATCCTTGACACTGCAAAGCCACTGTTACGCCAGAAACCTGCTCTGAGGAGTCCACCTACAAAAGATTAAGAGCTGTTTAAGAGATCCCACAATTATGGCGTGACGATGTTTGATTTGTGAGTAATAGCTGCTGCTGTGAGTGAAGCAAAGGGAAGGCCACCACCTAGAAGGAAGGGAAGGGAGGAGATGGCTTGAATGTCCTTGTGCTCCAGCTGGGCTGCTGTCCTTCCCACCAGCATGGCCTGTGCTGCCTCCTCAGGGAAGGCCTGCAATTTGGTGTGTTGGAAAGTGAAAACATCACTCCAAAACCACACACAAGTGGGCTTACACCAACCAAAAGCCCAGAAGAGGATTTGCAAAGGCAGGTTTGATGATGAGTATGGTGTGACTGAATGGTCAGAGGGGCATTTTGACAGCTCGACTTGAGCAAGTGACAGCGTGGCCCCATCTTGGTTTGGGCCTAGAACATGGGGGAAGTTGTCAGGCATCCTCATGTCTCACTCAACAGTTTTCTCACATTTACGTGAACTAATCTACGCCAAAGTCTTGTGAGAGCAGCCTTTCCCGATAAGACCCTGGCCTATGATGACGGACATTGCTCTGAGCAATCTGGTCTCACCAGATTTCAGTGACAAATTGGGATCCCATGCCTTAATGCACACATGACTTTGCCTGGAGATTATAATACTATTTAAATTCAGCTGTACTTTCTGTAGCAAATACTACAAAATGCAAATCCTCTGGTATGAAGATACAGTTATGTAAGACCTTGTTCAAAAGTGTCTGATTTAAGAATGCACTTAACATATGCTCAGCTTCAGTGACACACCCTAAAGAGTGAGGGTCGTAAAAATGTACCTAAGGGTTTTCCCTTCTTTCTGAGGAATTTCAGTATAATATTATCTAACACAACTGTGCAAGATGACTTAGCAGAAAGAGCAGACAAAATCAGTTTCCTTTTCAGGAAGATTCTTTCTCACATTATTTGCATTAGAAGTTTTTTTCAGTGATGTTTAAAAGTCATTGCATAACAAATAACCCTGCCATAAAAAAAAAAAAGGAGACTAAATGAATTACTCCTTTAAAACCTAAAAAAAAAAAAAAAAAAAAAAAAAAGGTGATTGCAGACAGACAATCTTGAAACAAGGGCAATTGCAAGTCCATGAGAACATTTCGGATGCTCGCACTGGGGCTCAACTGCAAAGGCAGCTGTGCAAGACCAGCAGGTATTTTTTCTTTCCCTGCAATCTCTTGAAAAGACAGACGGATTCCTTTCGGAGGGACAGCGGAGAAGTGTATTAAGCTTTGGTTCATTCCCCGCATTCAGTGAAGAGAGTTTTTGGGAAAGATGCCCAGATACTATGGACCAAGTTCAGCTCCAGCGTAAGCAGACAGAATTCCCACTGAAATCAATGGGAGTTGCACCTGCTGACTTTGGAGTTGAATATGGCCCAATATGTGGATACTATAAAGGTTCTGTTTCCAAAGTTTCTTCTGGCTTGTTTTATGGGAATGCAGACCTGGCGCCAGGAACGTCAGAAGACCAATAAATTCACTATGGGAACTTCCAGGCAAATGACAACTCTCTCTCACAGAACAAATCCAGAAGCTCACACGATGCTGAAGGACAAATTCTCAGTGTTCCCCCAGTTCATTGGCACAAATACTGGTTTTGGGTTAGAAACGCTCTGAGAGAAGAAAATGGGGGGAGATATTAGGGAAATGCTTTGATTGGTTTGTCCAAAATGTTTGAGTGAATATTTTAATTGCCCAGGATACTTGTTAACTGGTAGCAATAAATGCTCTGTAGTCACTAGGGAAGGTATACTGTTTGCATACCTGCTATTTGATGGCTGGTCCCAACAGCTGCTATGCTACATTTTCCCTGTTTGGACTGAATTTTGGCTGTGGCAGTCTCCAGGGGCGGAATGGAAGCACAGACAGGGCTGGAGGAGTCCATCCAGAAAAAAGCAGTAGCTTGAATGTATCCACGTGGCGTTGAATACAGAGGAGTTAACAAAAGCATTATGTGAAGGAGACAGTTTGTCTCTGTTGGGGTCATAATCTGCTGGCAACCGGGATTTAAACAACTGAGATTCAAAGTCCTTTCTTTGAGTAATTTCTCTGTTACGGAGCCATTCTGGTCACATAACACATGTATTATTAGAGAGTTGTTTGTAGGTAGTGGAAGTACAAAAAGAGAAAACTAAGACTGCAATAAAAGAAATAATCTTGGAGCTCTCACATTAAAAAACAAACAAACAAAAAACCCAAACATTTTAATTCTTTCTAAATTCTAAACAAAAAACAGCATTAGATCTGTATCTGGTATTATGATTTGACCTAAAGTCTGAAAACATTTGAAGATGGTATTTCTGGTTCAAGTCCACTTTGTTGGTACACAAGCCAAGGCCTTCTGTACCATTGACTCATTGAAGTACAGTAGTTTTCTAAACACAGTATTAAGTAGGACGTCCTCACTTTGCAACGTGGGCATCGCGCCCACTCTGACTGCTGATATGTGGTGCAAAGAATAAGGACGGAGGAATGGGACAAAGGAGGAGAGCAGCCAGGCGCCGGTGGAAAGACGGCTCCTAAAGGAATAGTGGAGTTTCTTGTGTTTGGCATGGCCTGGAAAAGACGGGTTAGAAATTGCTTTCCCAAGCTTCTTGTGATTAACAACCTTCTTTCCTTGTCCTCCGCCTTCTGACCAATATTCCTGCTGCTGCCATTGAACCTGTACGATGCACACATTTTAAAATATGTGGTGGTCGCATGGGAACTAACGCAGGGTGAGTTAGGGGAGAACTGTCAAGACCTACTGAATTTAAAGGGCCTTTTAAAAACAGCCTTCAGAATGTGCTAATATTTACACATTCCCAATCCACCTGGAAATATGTTCTGATGGCTTTAAAGCATTTTGATATTATTAAATGTATGTTGGAATGTATGTAAAATGTATGTAAAAGCACAGTTGTGCTTTATTTTACCCCCAAAGCTAATGATAATTTAATCTCTTTAGAAACAAACAAACTAAAAGAAACAAAGCAGGCACATCCTGTGTTTTACAGAAGGGCAAAATTCCTGTTCCAACCAAAAGGGCATCACGGTTTTCTTTTTCTTCAGCAACTTCTGGAGACTTTTTTTACTCTTTATGCTGGAGATCCAATTTATTACTTCTAAGGCTGTGTTTTTCCCTAATCTTTTTGAATAAAAGACACAACAGAACAAAACAATTTTTCTTTCTTCTTGGAAGTGCAGGATAGTTCGGATTTCATTATGCTTGAAGGAGTTTTGATGCTTGCATGTCATTAAACTACCAGAAACCCAATTAAAAATATACATGGTTAAATGCAACATCTGCAGGTAATGTTTAGATCATTTTATTCTGCGCTGGGCTCTATCAAAGATTTGGTATCAATGATTAGTGCCAGTCCACAATTTAAGCCACCATTGACTTTATTTTGGGTTCCATAACGTGTTGTGTTAAACTAGAACAAATAACCTTATTTTTCCTATATCCATCTCCATCAACTGTAAACAGACAGAGAATCAAGAAGTTTATTTTGAAGCCTATTTTAAATAAATTATTGTATACCTGAGGTTAAAAACAACCTCAGGAGGATTCTCTGTTGGGGTCCTGTGCATCCAGTGTGTGATGTGGAAGCCAACTGTGCTCAGAGCAGCGAGCATGGGATGGGACGGGGTGATCCTTTCTGCCCATTGCATCGGGGGGAGCTCTGATCCCACTCCCGATTCAGTTGGCGGCATTCTTGCCTGTAAGAAAATATTAAAATATATCTCTTAGAAAGAGTTAACCACACAAAATTAATGGCTGTTATAAGCACTTTGGGAGTTTGTGTTACGAAATGCAATAAGCACATCAACAGATGGTCGGTAGATGCTCACGAGCCGCGGTTACGGGCAGGCAATTGACCCGTTGGCTCTGCAGCTACCTCTAACTCAGAGCGGCTGCCTGCTCCAACACCCCTCAGCCTCTCGTTACCTCTCTGTAAGCTCAGTCATGCACACGCCATTAATGCCCACATTGCCACTGCCCACGACGGGAGCAGGAGAGCGCCCTAATTACTCCCAACAGTTTATGAAGTCAATGCATTAACGCTTGGAGCAGGCGGCACCTACCGCTCGCTGCCGCACTCGCTGCCGTGGTGGCTCCTTGGGCTCGTTCGTCACATTCGGAGATGCAAAAGGGAAGGCGAACATGAGTCTGCGGACGTTTTGGTACGAAAGCGAGATTCCCATTGCGAAGGCTTGGCGTGGTTTTGTGGCCGCCTTTTGAACGCTGTCAGAAAGGCACAAACATCAGCATAATTTATCGGCGGCTATTTTAGGCAGGTGCACGGGAACTCTAAATATACGGCATCCAGCACTTGCTGCAGTTGCTATGGATATGATATCCCAGGCCTGTAACTAGGGTTATAAATGCTGTTGTGTGCTTATTGCTGTTGTTGTTATTAAAACATGAATTTTAGAGTTATTCCTGCTCGGCTGCTGCCCCTAAATCGTCCATGTAACTGCATACTTCTTTGTCTGAAGGAGGGAGGTGTGTGGGAAATCAGTGATAACAGTGCCCTTCCTTCCCTTCTGCTTTTCATTTGTTCCGGGAGGGACCAATTTTGAGCTGCTGTTTACAGCTGTATCAGGGCCAGGAGAATTAAAAATCACACAGAGTCAGAGAAGTGTGCTTCATGTGGGTCTCTCAGATCAGTGCCCTGGTATTTAAGTCTTGCACACTTCACAGATACCCAGGTTTTTCCCCCATGTGTTGAAGACTGTTGCTTCCTGCAGCTGCAGGGACTGCACAGCCCCCTTGCTGCTGCCATGGGATGGTGGCATCTTCCCAAATCCTGCCCCGTGTTGCAGATGTGGAAAAGAAAAGACGTCTGGTGATGAAGGGGCCTCTACAGACTACCCTGGGCACTGCAGCACTCCATCTCTGTGTGCGCCATGCCCCATCCTCATGCTCAGCTGGGCATTTTCCTACAGACGGAAACTTGTAGAGGTCACTGGTGCTCGATGCAACTCCAAAGTGGAAATTAAGGAAAAAACGGGAGCTGCACGCAACACGCCTGCCCATGACAGCATCATTCAGCCTAAAATGGAGCCCAAAGATGGTCAGTTGGCAAAATGGGGAGCCCCTGGAAAAGAGGACGTGGTGCATGTACAGACATGGGTGCAGGGCAGTACTCGGTGGCTGCCAAAATTTGTCCTGCGGAGACAATGCAGATGGAGAGGGTGGGAGGAGAAACATCGATGGCTCCCTTGTGCCTGTAAAACAGGACGTTGGATGCTTACAGGTTACGACAAGCTAGCGTCTGGTAAAGAGGTCAGCCTGCCCCGAAAGTGGTGCAGAAGCCAAAATAAAGTCTAGCCAGGCCTATGAGGAGTACGAGCACTGAGGCAGGGAAAATAGTGAGGCCTCTTTCTCCCCAGTGGTGGCCCCAGAAAGCAGCGGTGAGGCTGCTGTTAAAATTAAAATATGGCTGAGTATTAGGATATTTGCCTTGGGCAGATATATGTTTTGAGAGACCGGGGTCAGCGGCTGTTTTAACCGCGCTGTTTCATCCCCACTGCCACACTTCCTGAAGTTTCCACTTAAGCGGCGTTTTAAACAGCACGCAGGTATGCTGGTGGCATTCTGCATCGCTCTCCAGAGGGTAAAACGTGTGTGCGTGTGCTCCGCTCTGTCCATCTGTCTGTCTCAAGCACCATAAACCAGCAGTGGAAAAAGGGGAGGCACGAAGCCCGGCGCAAACGGAGAGGAGGAACGAGTGCGGAGGCGATGGGACACAGGGGAAAGTCGTTTCCTACCGTCAGGGAAGGGCGCGTCAGGAGAAAATCGTTTCTTCTGCTGTTGAAAATTAAGAGTTTAGACTTCATGTGTGAAACAAAAGGAAGAGAAGACTTTGCATGAATGTAGACGCACAATGTATGTTGAACAACATGCACCGTATTTATTTATTTATCATTAGTGGCCTCACGGAGGAGACACTACCAAGGATCAGGACCCCAGTGAATTGCCGAACATCTTCTTTTTGAGCCAGGTATGTTTATACCCTGGCAGATTTACTTTCTTGTGATGAAGTTCCAACAAAACATTTTTAATCACCTCTTGGTCCAAAGAAAGACTCAAGTTGTTCAAACGGCATTTATGACCTCTGTGTTGCTCAGTTCTGGATTCCCAGTAAATAAAAACTTCGCACCATTCCTATCAACCTCATTTGAGCAGGTCTATAGATAAAAGCGGGGGCACACAGTGATTACAAGGAAATTGATTTCATCATCAAGTACCTTTGCACATTACCATAGAAATTATCTTTATTTTGCCCAAGTTATAGCTCTTTAATTTTGCACTTTGCATGTGTAGTGCAGTTTGCTTGAGGTTTTCATCTCAAAGACATGCCCATGCTGCAGCTGGATGTGCTGAAAAATCCCGATTTTATTTCTGTTGAAAACAGCAGGACCACTTGTGGAGGAGGAGGATGGCATAGGGGAGCAGAACCTGATTCAAAGCGTGTGCCAGAGCCGAGTGTGCGTGCAGGGCTGGTACCATGAGCGTGGTGCTGTGGGCATCACAGATAAAGGGTTTCCTCCTGTGCACCCCAAAGCACATCGGGCACAGGTGAGTTATGAATTATGAATTTTGGATGGGCAGCCTGGGAGGCTGGAGAGCACCGCGGTGCCTCCAACCAACACTGGGCTGTTGCTGTTGCCTTTATGTTTTAAAATAACCTGTCAAATTCCAGAACCAAACTGTGTCACACCTGTAGGGCTGTGTTTGTGAGACCGTAAGCTCTTTGGGGAACAGCACATCTTTTGTTCTGTGCTTGTACTCTGCTAGTACAACGTGCATGTCCACGACTTGCCCTGTTCACCAAAATAATGAAAAAATGGCTATTTCACAGCCATAAAGGTTCTTTATGACAGCAGGATGATGGATGACAGACACCCGATTCCCACTTCAGCTCTGTCTTTACACATTTCCTTACAAATAACACAATTTACACCATGCTGATGCCCTAACAAGCACAGAAAGGGCACTCAGCATCCAGTCCCACGGTGCTGCTGAAGATGCCCTGATGGTGAAAATACCCCGGGGATGGCAAAAATGCCCCCCAGGAGTGGCGAAAATGCCCCAGAGATGACAAAAAAAGCCCCCAGGGTCGGTGACAGCGCCTCAGTCAGGGTGAGGCTGCCGGGCACCCAGGCCTTGAAGCACCCGGGCGCTGCTCATGGAGGCGATGCCACATGGCCGCCTCCGAGCGGAGCCGAACGGATCCGAACCGACCCGAGCGGACCCGAACCGCGCCGAGCACCAGCTTCGGGGCGCACCCGCCCGCCCCGCCCCGCGCGCCGCCGCCGCCGCCGCCTGGGCGAGTGGCGCGGGCGCGCGCCCGGGGAAGGGCGGGAGCGCGCTCCCCGTCCCCGCGCGGCCGCAGAGGGGAGAAGCGGCGGCGGCGGCGGAGCGGCGCCGGGGCTGTTGTTTACCAGCGCTGACTGCGGCGGGCGGAGGCGGCCAGCGAGGAGGAGGAGGAGGAGGAGGAGGAGGAGGAGGAGGAGGAGGCAGAAGAGGAGGGGGGGGGGCAGCCAGACAGCCAGACGCGGCGGCACAGCGCTGCGAGCGCATTAATTGGGAGGAGCAGCGGAGCCTCACCCCGGCATCCCGTTCTCTCTGCCCCCTTCCCTTCTCCTCCGTATCCCCCTCCCCAGGGCATCGCAGCCTCTCCGCACCCAGCTCCTGCGCTCTGACCTTCAGCGCAGCGCGCCGCCTCGCCCCCGTGCGCGCCCCCGCGCCTGCCTCCCCCGGCCCCCTGCCCGCGGCTGGGCAGCGTTGGGGAGGGAGGGAGGAGGGGAGGGAAGGGGGAGGTTTGCGGCGTGCGCACACCCAGAGGAGGAGGGAAAAAGGGAGGGAGGGTGGGGGGGAGGAAAAAAAAAAAAAAAGGAAAAATAGAAAGGGAAAAAAAAAGGAAAAAGGGAAAAAAAGGAAAAAATAAAGGAAAAAATAAAAGAAAAAACATAAGAAGGGAAAAAAAAGGAAAAGGGGGAGAAAGGGGGGGGAAAAAAAGGAAATAAGGGAAAAAAAGGGAAAAAAAAAAAGGAAAAAAAGCGCAGGGAGTACGCCCGGGCCGGGTGCTGTGTGTTGTTGTTGTTGTTGTCGTCGTCGCCGTCGCCGCCCGGCCCCCCCCGCCCGCCCCCCGCCCGCCCCCGGCGCGATGGCAGGGCGGCCCGCGGGGCGGCGAGCCGGAGAGCGGCGGGGGCAGGAGGCGGGGTGCTGAGCCGCTCCGCTCCGCTCGCCGCCGCTTTGTGTGCGAGGGCGGCCGGGGGCTGCCTTGCCTTAATTATTATTATATATATATATATAATTTTTTTTTACCTTGTGTTTTTTTGTTTTTTTTTTTATTTTTTATTTTTTTCCGGGGGGAGAGCGAAGGAGCCCTGCGGCAGCGGCGCCGAGGAGAGGAAGAGGAGGAGTAGGGGGAAGCCTTTTTAATTCATTTTCCTCCCCGATTCCGCATTTCTGCAGCCAGCCGGACTTGTGTGGCGGTGCTGTTGTGTGTGTGTGCGTGTGCGTGTGCGGGGGGGGGGGAGGGTGGGGGGTGGCTGCGTGTTGCTTTTTTTTTTTTTTTTTTTTCTAAATTTTTAATTTTTTTCCACCCCTCCGCCGGGCCGCGGGGATCCCACCACCAGGGCACCCCCCCCTCACCACCACCCTTTGCGTTTCGTCGCGGAGCCCCCGGGGCCGCCGCTGTTGTTTTGTAACCGGCTTGTCTGGGGCACCCCCCCCCCCGCCTGTTTTCGGTGTGTGTGTGTGTGAGTGTGTGGCTGCTGCTGCTGCTGCTCCTGCTGCTGCCTCCGTGTGCGGTGTCGGAAAATGGAGGTTGAAGATGCAGAGCGCCGGCCCCGCCGCGCCTCCCGCCCGCCGCTCCCCTGCACGACGAGCGGCCGCGGCCAGCGCTGAGGGGAACCGGCCCCGGAGCCCTCCTCACCCCCGGCCCCGGAGCCTTCAGCCTCGGAGTCCCCCTCCCCGGAGCCCCCAGCCCGGCCAGCGGCGCCCCGGGGCTCCCCCCGTGCTGCTGCCCCCTCCTCGTCGCCCTCAGCGCCCCGCGGAGCCTCCGGAAGATCAACACCACCCCGGGACCTCGCCGCCCTCCGCACCGAGAGGGGCTCCTCGCTTCTCGTTTTTTTATTTCATTATTATTATTTTTTTTGCCTCGTTTGTTTTCCATTTCTCGAGGCAACGTGGATTTATTTATCCTGCCCCGCTGCTCGCCCCCCTTTTGGCTCCTTCGTTATTTTTAGAGAACGAGGAGGGGGGGGGCTGAGGGTGGCGGGGTGGGGGGGGGTGGGAAGCGAACAATTTGGGACTTTCATTTTTTATTTCTTTCAAAAAAAAAAGAATTTTCGGAAAGGGGGATTTTGTCCAATTAAAAAAAGAGGAATGAAGTCTGGCGCTGGAGGAGGGTCCCTCGCCGTCTTCTGGGGGTTTCTGCTCGCCTTCGCCGCGCTTGGTCTGGGGCCGACAAATGGGGAAAGTGAGTATGGGGCTGGGGGGGGGGGGGCGGCTGTGTGAGGGGCTGGGGGGGCGTGTGGGGACCGGTGTGTGTGTGTAGGGGGGGATATAGGGGGCTGTGGGGGCCGTGTGAGGGGCTATGGGGGGCGTGTGAGGGGCTGGGGGGGGGTGAAGGCGTCGCAGAGGGGCCGGGGGCTGCGTGCGAGGGGCCGCGCCGTTGTGTGAGGGGCTCTGGCTGGGGGGGGGGGGGGGGCTCGGCTGCGGGGGGCTCCCGCTGCCTTCCCTCAGCGTTTTCGCCCTTACCCCTCGGGCACCGCCACCCACCCGGGGCTCGGCTTCTCCCTCCGGTCCCTGCCGCAGCAGCCCCCGGCCCGGGGGAGCCCCGGTGCCATCCCCCCCCCTCCCCATTCTGCCCCCAAACCCGGCCCCGGCGGCGCGGTGCTGGGCCCGGCGAGGCTGCGAGCTGCGTAGTAAACACAGGCGGGCGGGGAAGGGCTGCGCCTGCCTTCCCCACATGGAAGGAGCTTGAGCTTTGTCAAGAGCCAGAGTAACCTGCCGCGGCGGGTGAGGAATTCCTGGAAGAATTCCTGGCCGTGCCTCTGCTGAGGAGGGCTCTGGCCCCTCGCTGCGGGGTTACGGCGGTCTGCAAAGTCGCAGCCCGGCTGCTTTTTGGCTCCTTGCTTTTATACAGCTCCGTGCATCGCGGCTCTGGTTCCCCGTAGCCCCCTCGCTTCGTTTCCCTGCTCCCCCAAGCCGCCGAGGTTGCGGGGCGTGAAGGGACAGGGGTGCTGTGGGCCTTGAGGCTGTGAGCACCGCCGTGCGGGGCTCGTGGTGGCTTTGGGGGCTCCCCACGCACAGAGTTGGCCTCCCCAAGGTTTGCTGGCCCGGCTCTCTGCAGGCAGGGAGATGGGAAGCGCGCCCTGGAGCCCAACCATTTTAAGAGCTGCTCCATCTCCTTCAGCGCCTCTCTCCGTCTGCAGAGGCAGGGTTGGTTCTTTTCCTGCGTCTGGATGCTTTAATTTCTTCCGCTGGGTGTTTTTCGGCGTGTTCCTCGAGCTGTGCTCGTGTGCCCGGCTCGCACAAAAGATAGGCGTTGATGGAAGGGAGAGATCAATTTTCTCCATTTTAAGTGTAAAGGGAAGGAATGTGGGAGCTGCAGAGGCTTTGCTAAAAGTGGTAGTTTCAGGATGAAAAGAGAAGCAAGTTCTTTGGATGCACTGACAAGGAGGCTAAAAAAACCCCAGCGTTTGAGCAAGAAGCGCATAGATGGAGCCTGTAACGCGTGTTGAGTAATATTGTGTTTCATTAGGCAGCGAATGCCAATTAACTCGTTGCAAATTAAGGCCCGGCTTAGGCTTTTACGTTGTGGTGGCAGGGCCAGCTCGGGCTGGAGAGCTGCAGTCCTGCTTCCACGCGTTGAACTTGTTGGCCAGGGCTGTTTTCAAGAGGGAAGATTAATGTTTGGGTTTGAAAACAAAACCCTAGTGCCCTTCTTCAGGGAAGGGCTTGAAAAGGATCGGGTAGCACGGAGAAAACAGGAGAGGAGGAGGAGGTCTGGTGTGCCCGTAAACTGCTGGGATGTGTGCTTAGAAGGGTTTTCTTACCTGGCCCAGAACACCTTCAAATAACCACGTTTGCCCAACTCTTGCAATAAAGTCAGGCAGGAACGGTGGGTTGGGATATCAGCTTCCAGTCCTCTCAAGTGTTTGCAGTTACCGTTTAGCTAAAACGACCCAATTAAGAACCTCCAAAATGAAATATCTCCTTCTTCTGATCTAGGCATTTAAATACGGGGAGATATGCTGAAAAACTTGTCTTAGCTGAATACTGCCTCTAATCGATCGTCTTTGTAGTTTACAGTTTAATAGCCTTTGTTTTCACGAGTTATTGCTGAAAGAATTTTGCTGTTAGGGGGAAAAATGATCTCCAGAGCAGATGTTTTGCATCTCTTCATATTCTTCTCTCTCCCCACAATAGTGGAAGGAAGATTAATCTTAATTTTTATTTGTTTTTCATATATACTGTGTCATAGCTAAAAGGCACTTCCATTTTCGGTCAAACAAGCAAGGCATTCCTAAATAGGAATACAAAGGAGTTACAACAGGAGGGGGGAAGCCCATCTCTTTAATGCGAAATCCTATAAAATCTGCTCATGGTTCAATGACAGAAAACTTTTGAAAAGGCAGGTAGCCTCGGTGGTAAGCTGCTGGTTCAAAACCAGTTGTTAAAAAGCGCTAAGAATTTGCTGAGGTTTTTGTTAGAACAGCACAAAAATAAAAACAAAAAGGCCCTTCAGCGCGGTGCAGCGTGTGCCGGTGGAGCAGGGCATTTGGTGTGCTGCTGGAGACCGCCTCTTCAGCCCACCCCTGGGATGAAGCAGCTTGGAGTTTGCTGCCTTTTGTACCTGAAGCACGATGGGGTTTGTTTTTTTTTGTCCCACGTAGCGTACGTGTGTAAAGGGAATGCCTGGAAGGGCGTGGGTTAAGCGTGTAAAGTGAGCTGTTTTGGGTAATACCGTGCTTCAGACCAGTAGGTTCCCTGATGGATCTGCTCATCTTAGCCATGAGCTTTTGCTTGCGTATCCAGGCTGTATTTCACGCTCCTGATGTTAACAAGCAGTAGCTCATGTTGTATGTTCAATCCCTCTCCCGGGTTGCTTAGCAAAAGCCCTCCTGACCTCCCGAGTGCCAGCATTGCACACACCTCGCTTTCCCATCAGCGTTTTCACAGACGCCTAGTGGTTAGCGAATGCTGGTAAATGGGAGTTGGTTAAGCCCTTCTGCAATTGAGGTTCCAAATTGAAATGCCAGAGCACCAAAGGAACCGGTGTCACCGGCGGGAGGAGAGCTGTCAGTGCCGTGGACAGGACGGCGGCGCTTGGCTTGTGCTGCTCGAGGCGGTGCTCTGCAGGCGTTTCGGTACCAGAACTGGAGCAAAGGCTCGTGTGACTCAGAAACCGTCGGGTTAGGAAACGGCAGGGACTTAGCCTGTGTCGGGCAAAAGGGTTGGAGAACGTGAGGAAGCGGAGGGCTGGAAGTGAAAGGGGGGAAGCCATTGCGCGTTGCATTGCCGAACCAGCCCTAGGAGAGCGATGCTCCTCGCGATGCTCCTTGTGTGTTGGAAGCGAGGGATGGAAGGGGATGTGAGAGCAGAACAGCTCTGTTAGTTTTACTTCAGCACAACAGCAGGCATGATTTGTTGGCTTTCGTAAGGAAATTGCCCAGATTTGATAAATTACTGCATTAATTTCGGTTAGGTTTTCCCTGGTCAGTTCTTCCTTCAAACTAAGTTCGTTGTATATGAGAAGCACAACTCCAGTGACAACTCCTGTTGTCTTCATCTGGAGATGCGTGCACGAATCTAGTGGTGAGGAATTTCCATGTAACGATTTCTGAATCTGTCTTAATTGGTAAATAATTAATCTGTGCCAGTATACGTTACCTTGGGAAAAGTTGTTTCAAATCATGTCGAGTTTTCTGCTAATCTGGCACTTGCTAAGGAAATGTTGGAGGAGATTTTCATGTGGGTGTGAATTGTGAGCTGCCATTGGCTGTTCTGGAGAAGTTTGGTGACGGTCCTGAACCTCCAGAGAGGAGTAATATGCACAGCAAACCCGGTGTTGGCTTTGTGATCCTGCGTAGAAAACAACTTGCCTAACTCACTGTTATCTGTGATGGTTGTAAAGTTCATAATTTACATTATGATTAAATTGCTTAAAAAAAAAAAGACTGTTTCCCTGAAATGGTAGCAATGGTAGCAACTGAAAAGCAATGGTAGCTCTTGAAAAGTGTTCTTTGAACTTTGGTTTATGAAAATGAAAAAAACAAAACAAAACAAAAACAAACCTCTAAAATTCAAATAGGGGTTTATTTACAGCTTTCACGTTTGGAAATGTGTGATGTCCTGAAGCAGCAGCTGTTTTCAAGTCTTTATGCGTGCCTGTACATAGAAATGGGTAACTTGCAGTTCTCAGGTATCACGCATGTTGCTTAATTTTACTCAAACTGCAGTGTTTTTTAATTATCTTGAGGTTCTCGTAATTAGCGTTGTTGCAGATAGGTAGCTTCGCTTCATTTCACGTCTTTCTGGCAAAGTTGAGCTTTGAAGCTTTCTGGGCTTAGGAGGTGATGGAGCTCCTCAGAGCTCTGCCTCTGAAAAGGCTCCGAAAGGCTTGGGGAGCGCAGTGATGTGTTTGAAAGGTAGAACTACTGTTCTGGTATTTTGATATATTTGACGTATAATTTTTCTATCACTGTAAATTGTATAGACAGCTCCTTTGTGTAGGTTAGTTGGATTAGTGTTTATGATTTATGAAAACCACTTTAAAAATAATAGTTTGAAAATTGTTGTATTGTACAAAACCAGAGCTCACCAAGCAGTAGTTGATGAAGACACATTTGTGGTTGTTAGCCAGCCTGTCTTTTTTTTTTTTTTTTTTTTTTTTCCCTCTTAGCCAAGTCATGACAGGTACAATCTGGACTGATTTCTGTAGTACTATATTTGTCTTTTTTGTGTCCAGAACTGTCTGAGGACAGGCAAGTGATTAGCAACATACAATGTTCATTCACATATTTCTGTGCTCTGCAAACTGAGCCGTACCGATCCCTCAAAGTAAAAAATAGCCTCTGCTGCCTTTGTGCAGGGCTTGCAGCTTTTGCTAACGGAGTTTGTGGCAGTTCGGCTTATCCATTAATTAAGGAGATGCATTCCTGCAAAACGGGCGTCAGCATGGTGGTGGATTGTAAAGGTTTAACTTGCGTTTATCATTAAAAGTTTTCCGTTTTAACCTTTGCAAATGCCAAGTATGCACAGCTCCTTCAGGATTTCTTTCAAGGCAGCGATTAACTTATTAAATGAGGGTATGCTGAAGAAGTGGCTGTTGTGTTTTTAAAGACAAGATGATTTAAAATTTGCTGAAAAGCAAAATTGACATAAAACATTATTACTGTATTTAACAGTTTAATTTGCATCTGACCCGTGAATTTTCATATAATATCATTTAATTTGTTTTGAAGTATCCAG